ATAGGAGTTCATCAAAATAATAGTGCAGTCAATTTGGCTTTACTCCATTAGCTATGCCTTGGTGTTTGAAGATCTTCTGATCTGAAGACCATAATGATAACTAAATCATCAAATAACAATAATCTTGCTCCTCAAGTTGCAGTATCCCAGCCCTTTGGAGAAATACAGCCATGTGCCATAGGAAAAACAGTGCCCATTTTTAGCACAAGGAACACCAAGATACAAATCACATCACAGGCAGAGTTAATTAAGTCAGGCACCTACTGCTTGCCTATAGTTTGTAACAGCTATTAATTTGAAGGTCTGCTGTAGTGCTAAGATGAGGTAATTAACTAATGCATTGTGTGACATGATGAACACATTACTAGAGGGGCTTGTTACCCTGATGTTTTTGGGATAACAGAGTAAAATTTTAGACAATATACCACAGCAGTTTAAAGGGGAAAAAATGCTTACAGGTCTTTCTTAGACAAAGTGAGAAAAAGGTCAGGAGCTCTTACCATTGATTATAGAGTGTGCAGAACCACACTGCTGTTAAAACTATCAAAAGAGCATCAACATTTTGGCACCTATTTTTGTTAGTTTGAACAAGAAATTTTGGAAATTGCTGTGATTTTTTAAATTATTTGCAGTATATACATACACAGGAAGTCTGCATTTTGTTTAAAATCATATTGAATTACATACATGGTGTCACATTTCTTTATAATGAGCAAAAACTCATTATAAAGAAAGACTCTTTCTTGCCAATCTGCATTCACTATGCTTTTCTTTTCTGAATAATTGCTTACTCTGTATATTAATTTAAGGTTAGAATATGCCTGAATGGACAAGAATTGTTTTCGATCCCAGAAGCTGGATGGAGAAGAGCATTGCCTCAAAACCGAAAGAAGGGAGATTTTAGGATACAGACTAGGAAGTGCTTTAAACAGTAGCTGGGTGGATTTTTTTACTACTATGAGAAGCAGCTGAAAGACTGCCATTAAAAATAATAGCAAACATATGTGATGTGTTCTCACACAGACAGAATTGTGTGGAAGTTCCACATATGATCATCCCTGCCATTGAGCTCAGAGGGATAGCTTCACTTTGATGAGGTTTCAAAACACACTGCAGGAGTCTGCTGGTGTTTCCTTGGGAAAAACAAATTTTGTGATGGAATGTGATGAGTGTCACGCATTCGAGGTATCAAAAGAGATATTTCTTAGTATTGTAAACTCATGATTTCCAGCAGTTATTAAAATGTAATGGTGAGGGAACTGCAGAGCTCAGATATTAGATCCCTCTGAAATAATGGTGTTTATGTGATGTAAGACCTTTCTTTTTTTCTCTCTCTCTCCCATATGTTGCTTCTTAACATTCTGCATCAGAGATAACTCCTGCCACACAAAAGGTAACAGTAGAGTAGGGATTGCACATCCCTGACCCACTCTGCTACTGAACAAGTTCAGCTGTGCTGTCTCCAGCCTCCTTTGCTGGCTCACCTCACTTAGGTGACCTCAAACTGAAAGCACAGAGGATGAGATTTCTCATCTCAGCTAATGTGCAGAGTAATATCCCACAGCCAGCACATTGCAACGGCTATCTGGAAACAAATTTGGAGCCTTGCACAAGCTTGTAATTCTACAGCATGCTAAAGGTCACACTGATTAACTTGGATGGGAATTAGCTGTGTATAAATTCCTCACTCCTATAAAGCAGGCAGGAAACCAGTCTCCAATCCATCATTCTGAGGTTAATTAATAAAGCAATACTAACTGCAAAATCTCAGTTACCAGGATAAGCTATTGGAGCAGCTATCAGTGTTTTTCCAGAAGTATTAGGTACTTTCAGTGAGCAAGCCTATTGCTCACTTGTGGAGCTACAGCTGCTTCTGCCAGGAGAGGCGCCAGCCCAGGGAGTGCCATGTGGATGATTTTTAACTCATATCATTTCAAACACAATGACAAAAACTGCCATGGGAAAACAACGACTAAAACTATGTTTCCTGTGGCTTACTAATGGACTATTCATGCAAAACATTAAGCTGATGAATGTGAATTTGTTGGATGCATTAGCCTTTCTCCCTTTGAGCAGGTTTCAAAGATTACAATTATGTTTGGTTTAATTACTATTAGTCTCAATTGAATTGTCAGTTCTTTCAGCATTTTCAGTGTGTAAAAATTTATATTTAAAATTTGCCTTATCAGGAGGCAAACTTCTCATGTTGGTTCAGTTTTGTATGAAGTGGGCGTTATTGTATTTCAAGGCCTGATCATCATGCTTACTTAAGGAGAATTCTTTGTTGATTATTGCTGTTCTAAATACACATAAAGCCACTCAACATGAGTTAATTCCTGTGTGATTTTGCCTTTGGATTTTTTTTCCAGACTCCATAATCATGTTCCATTCGAACTGTAATTTATTTCAGACTGAGACAGAGATGAGAGATCCTCACCATTCCTTACACCCACAGAGTAGCTGCATGGCTCCTGCAGGGTGATCAGGATTGCTCCAGTTGGATGCTTCACCTGAGTGCCTTCCAGCCAATTAAGGAGTCCCCCATGCTGAGCAAGAAGTTGTGGAAGACACACCAAGCAAGAGAATGTGCCTGCATCCCTGTTACTCTCTAGAAGTCAGAACCCACAGGCATGGCTCTGCTTGAGACTCTGTGCATTTGGGATTCTGAGTGCAGCAGATTCCAAAGGGCTGATCTGGGATACTCAACCTCCACTGCATTCTACCCCCTTAAAGCACTTGGAAAGTGCTGGCTTTGTCATTTCACTCTCACAGAAATAAAACTTGCATCTCTTAAAGCATTTACCAAACCACAAGACTAGACCCACTGTAAAATTGAAGCATTCTCCCTTCAACCTAATGAGGAATAAAACCGAAGTGTGACCCACTGCAGAAAAGGGATTCTAATTTGAGCAGAGCAGGGAAGAAATGAGCAGAAGGGAGTTTCACTGCATAATACAACAGTAAAAGCATTAACTTAGGAAAGGAGAAAAGGGAAACCTCACTTCACTGCTTCTGTTCAGCATTAAATGCCCTTTTCCTTGTTCAGTGAATCCCATTGCCCCAGCCCCTTCTCTGCTTTCCACATTCAAGAAGAAAACTGAAGAATTTAAGTCACCCCATGTTATTCAGCCACTCTTAAATCACAAACATTTCTCAGAGGTTATCAGTAGTCTCCTGGTGGAGGCACCTCAAAAGAGACCTCTATATTTTCCATTCCTGTCCTCAGGCTCCCTCTGAGGGAAAGCTCAGCTGTCCACGCTCCCTCTCCCAGGGCATTTGGAGGGACAGGCTGAGGGATGGTACATGTGCCATCAGCCACAGGGTGTCCCTCTCAGGGGAGGCTGCTGCCACACTGATGCCATATGCCTTTTTATTTCGTGACACCTGTTTACACAGCGTGAGGCAGGGAAAAGATTACTTTCACAGCGGAATGGGAAATCATGGAGCGCTCACTGGCAGACAGTGGGCTCAGGGAATATCTTGTGAAAGCATTTAACAATTCATATTGTCAGAACGGGTACAACTGTCCAAATACATGCTGTTTCCAGTCTCCTGTGTAAGAGCCACATTTGCAAATCATTAAGCCAAAGAAATTAAATCACTTAGCTAAAAGTTATAAGCAGAAAAAAAATAATTCACTTTTTTAGATTATTGTTTCTTAACATCTCCATGTTGGTTTTGAGCAAGCTGTGTTTTGCTTCCTTGACTATTCTGCTTAGTATTGCAACATAAATGAGAAAGTTGACTTTTATGACTTTCTAAATTATAATAACTATTCTCTCCTGAGCACAGAATATTTGTATCTGTAACAATATACAGGGTTACAATGGCATTGCTGGCCTTTGGAAAAGTTTGAGGACAGGTTTGTTCCCATTTTGTGACTGCTTCAAGTGCTGGGGAGCATGAACTGGTACATTAGTTTAAACCACAGTGGTTCTGAGTTAAAGTGCTGCATAGCACAATCTCAGTCATGGCCTGATGCTCTTTTTCTCCTACTCTTCTGAGATCATAGTGACAGAAGGGCAAGTCAGTCAGTTTAAATCATGGGGATTAAGTTTTCAACTGCTGCACCACATTGACCAGATCTGTCCAGTCATCAATGTCCTCTCCTCACTATGCTGTGGTTTTTTTCTTTTTTTGGACAGTGAGCATTTGAGCCTGTACTAATTGTTGCAATGAAAACAGTGCTACAGGTGCATTACATGATGTGACAAAACATAAGTACTCCGATGCCCAGTACGTAATAAATAAGTTGATTTAACAACCTCCAAAAAGAAAGATATGTAGTTTTTTCCAGCTCTGAGAAAATTTCATTGGCATGTTCATCCCCTCAGGAAACAGCAGGTCCCAGCAGGTGTGGAGGCACAGGACCTGTGCGGGGGCACGGGCGGGCACAGCAGTGCCACACAGCTCCATCACTGACGGCCCTGCAGGAGCCACCAGCCTGTGCTGCGCTAGTGCCTTCCTGACCCTGATCCCTGCCTCATTTCATTTACCTCACCAGGACTGAAAACTAACCATAAGCATTTTAAGACCTTATGTAGCATTTTCTTTTTTTTCATCCCCTTCCTATGCGTTTAATTACTTTCCAAAACCCAAACACATCTGTGCCTATAACAAGCCAGAGGCTCTCTGTTCGCCTGGATCCATGGTGCTGCATTGGCTCCGAGGTCACGGACCCCTCTGGCGCCCAGCACAGGGCAGTGTCCGCTGTCTGTCCTGCACAGCTTCCAGCTCCGTTTGACCCACGCCGTGAGGGACAGGAGTGTGCGCTCAGCTGCTCTCCAAGGGCAGCAGTGTTTAACCCGATCTGCCAGCTCTGGGCAGACCTCCACCCCTCAGGGAGGCGGCTGACTGCTCCCTGCTGGCTACACGTGCTTCTGACGGGAAACGTGCGCAGCGTAGCAGCAGGGTGTTTTACCCTAAGATGCTCCGCAGAGCATCCCACACCGAGCAGTTTTTATTTTTTATCACCCTCAGCGAGCGCGCTCATTTTAAACGGGCCCCGGCAGCCCCGGCCGCTGGCTCGGGGCCGGCTGTGGCGGTGAGCACCCGGCTGCTGCTGGGCCACAGGAGATCGGAATAGACCCGGGGGAGCCTTTAGGTTTAAGGATTTGTGTAAGCATAGCCCTAAAGGACAAAGTGAAGGTGGGTGTTCCGGCACCGTGGGCTGTCGAAAGTTCCTGATTGTCCTCCGTGTGTTCCAGGTGAAATGGTTCTCTTGTGCTGAACTCCTTGGGTTGCCGCGTTGCTGCACGTTGAGAACTTTGTGAAAACCAGGAAGTCAAGATGAAGAGCAGGGTGACACAAGTAAATGTAAGTGTTCTTGAACCTAAATTGTAGGATTTGATCACTCCCATGTCACTGGTAATTAGGGCTGTAGTTGTTATTATTTTAAATAAAACTTGCTGAATGCAAAGCGAGTAACATCTGTAACAGACAGCAGCTGTTTACAAGAGAAATACTGCTAGGAATCAGTCAATTACAGCTATTTCTATTTCCTGTTGTCCTTGTAATCAAAGTCCTGAATATTATTAGTGTAAAATTTTAATAATTGGTCAAAACTGACTGAATGCTGATGGTTCAACAGTAAGTGTAAGCATGTAGAGGAATTGAGCAAGATTTTGAAAAATTTAACAACAGTCTTGAAAGATACAGAGCCAGTAAGTAGCAGTTAATTTGACAATTGTATGTCATACTATGCATGTTAAAACTTTTCCTTTTTAGAACTATATGTCCCATTTCTGAGTGGATGGGGGTGATTTTTGGGAATGCAAGAAGAAAACATTTAGAAATGCTGTTTGCAAAGTACACCAGGTTTGGGATTTGTTAGCAGAGCAATATTGCTATGATGAACCACCTCAAATCTGTGGTATTACTCTGCCTGTTTGTCCAGAGTTGGAACCTGCATCAGCTTCTTCACTATTTTAGACCCAACTTCTCTGACTTGAGTGGCTTTTAGTAGGGATGCTTGAGGGGCAGTTTAATACCTTCTCCTGTTTTCCCAGTCTGATAGTGCTCCCTCGTCTGTCAAAATAAGCCAGCCAGCAAAAGCACACTGCTTGGACACTTTGCGTTAATCATTTTGATGAAAATGGACAAGGAAGGAGAACTAACTTGTGGCAGAAAACTGGTCACAGGGAGCTGAGGGTGGCAATTTCTTCAACAAGCAAAGCTGCTTTTGCATGGAGATGTGATAAATGGCAAATACAGAAACAGCCATAGCATTGTTTTATTTCTGTGAACACTTGTCTTTTTGGTTCTGCTTGGGCAGAGACAGATGATAAAGAACCCATGAGAGTGGCTCATCCTAAAAAGATCCAGTGCCTTCTTCCTATCTGCTAGATAGGATTTAAATACAGGAACTATTTTGCGTTATTCAAAGATTTTTTATTACCACTTTCTTGGAAGCTTAGGGTACAGACTGGCATTATATTACTGGCTGGGAGAAAAAAACTACTTAAGGACTTTTTTTACCCTTGAATGAATTCAGTGATCTGCTCTGTGGTGTAATGATCATTGAAAGGGTGGAAAACCTTGGTGAGTGTGTGAATTTCTTGTAGTAGCTCTGCTGTCAAAGATAATGTGGCTCTAAAATTAAACAGGTGGACATAACTTTTATAGGGATGCAAGCTCCCAGGGGACAATGCAATGCCCTTCTTTTGTATCCTTATCTTGATGTGGGCAACCGAATGCTGGATGTAATTTTAGCAAATTGAAGTGCACCCTAGGAAAGGCAACATTCTAGGATATGTTATAGTGGCTTCAAAAATGCAATTATTGGTTTGCATATATACACAGCCCCCCAGTTAAGTTTTTGGAGATAACAGCTGCCCTGCTTTTTATGGAAGAGATGTCATTATATTCTGGTCACCCAGAGTTTTAACTGGTTCTTGGGTGGGGCAAGAGTTGGTGTGGCAGTTGGTGGAGAGGGTGCTGCTTCAATGAACGAGCTGTGTTGCTGCAGGGATTCCATGAAGGTGCATAAGGACATGCTTTTGTTGAGTTTCTGCTTCAAGTGAGGTGTTCCCTGTTCCACAGATAATCACTTTGTGACATGGCATTGTGGTTCTGAAAAATCATAAATAATATTTTAAAGGAAGAGATGACCCTTGCAATGAAAGTACTCAGGTTACAAATGCTGCTGCTTGACTCTTACCAAAGTGGTTTAGAAACATGTTAATTAATAAATTTTCTGTTTGTGGTAGATGCTGTCTCATTCTGATCTTGTATAACTCCACACTTCTAAATGTTCAACACATGGAATTTGGTGTGAGCGTTTAAGTGTGTATCACTTACACAATCCTGCAAATTGCCAAATAAATCAGTGCAGTTCAGATGTTTGTAATGTATGAAACTAGGAATGACTCGTGAGCAAATAAATTGTGATTAATAAAGAGGAGAGGAACATAAGGAAAAATTACTCAACAAAGGGAATTTCTAGGAGAGAGGAAAGACACTCTTTAAGCAAGAAATGGTGGAATTCTGTTTGTGGTATTGTGTGTGGTACAACAAATGAAAATGGCACCTGAAAGAAGGAGGCAAAAAAGGCAGACCAGTGGTCCATCTACTCTAGTCTCCAGCAGTAATTAACAGCAGATGCCTTAAAGAGTTTAGGAATAGGGGAAACTTTAAAAGAACTTGCCCATGTACACTCCCACTCTCTACCTGTCTGCAGCTTCCTGAGCCAGCTCAAGTGTTTTGGTAACCCTAGTGGATTTTGCTTCAGTGTTTGTTCAGTGCCTTGAACCTGTGGAAGCATTTGGCATCTGCAGCAGCATGTAGCAGGATGTCCAGCTGTTCAACTGCTTGTTCCTAGAGAACCAGAACCTCTCCTTGTCACACCTGACTGCCATCAGCTTTATTTGATGGCCCTCCTAGTAAAGGAGTGGGAACTGAGGCATGGTACGCTTTGATCTGAAGATAGGTGCTCACAGTCATGCTCGGGCTTGATTTTTTTTTTCTTTCTCTTTCCTTAAAGCATGGTTCCAGTCATGACAGGAAGGAAAACTACAGTTCCCGACATGAAAGTTTGTCTCCAGAGGACAGGTAAAATGACTTGTATTTGTATCCTTCAATTCTGTATATATACCTCACATAGCGAGTTAGAGAAGTTAAAAAAAATCATCAGGTTATGTTTCTTTTATATATTACCATAACTGAGTGGTAAAAACCAAGTGTAGATTTAGTAAAATACTTGAGTGTCATTATAACAGTAATTAAATGGATTTGTTACTAAAACTTAGCATTTATTTAAATTATCATGAGACTTGAAAGTGAAAATTACATGCTATATTTTTGCTTGAAGTCACATATTGCTGATACCACAGTTATAATTTTTGGGCAAGATTACTTTATGCTGTACAGGCACAAGAAAGTAGAAAAAAATGAATACATGTGTTCCAAGGAATGCAAGCTGCTGAATTTACCATTGATATTTGATGTTATTACTGTTAAACATTTAATTTCAGATTCTAGGAGCTTTCTTTTACAGTGCTTCTTTGCTTTTTGATAATTTTTTCCTGATGGCAAATTATTGTTAAAGTTGTCCCTTTTATTGGAGTGACACATATTTTGAAACTCACATTGCAGAATTGGAACACTTCTGCATTGTTACATTATATTGCAAGTATATATTAATACCATTGCTTTTCTCAGCCTCTTACTCTAAGTTTTTGTGTCTTGGGTTGCGAGTAGGGATATGGAGCGTGATAGGTCTCGGTCTCCATCTCCCAGGAAGAGGAGGTACTCTGATGACAGCAGATATGATGAGGAATATTCAAGACGGGAATACTATGATGACAGAACTTCAGATGGAAGGTCTGGAGCCCTTTCTTAATCAGTAATGAAATACTTGCTTTTAAAGAATAAAATGTGAAAGCTTTTCACGTACACTTGGGTGTTTAGTGGGTGTGTTTTTTCCTTTTAGAAGGATGGAAAGGGGGAGAGATAGACACTATGAGAGATGGGAGGACAGAGAATATGACCGACACTATGAGAGATGGGAGGACAGAGAGTATGATCGAAGGAAGCAGAGGAGATACTCGTCACCTGACCGCAGGAGCCCAGAGAGGGCGACAGGCCAGAGCTCACTTGCTCAGGATGAGACCACCTCAAAGAAGAAGAAAGAAGAAGTGGATCCAATCCTCACTCGCACAGGTGGTGCATATATTCCACCTGCCAAGCTCAGGATGATGCAAGAGCAAATCACTGATAAAAATAGGTGAGTTCAAAGTTACATAGTAGGTTTTTGCTGCAGGCAAAACAGTTAAGTTGTTTAGAGAATGTTGGGAAAGATGGGATCTATTAAGGGTTGTGATCATTGTTTTGAAGGTATATTTTTATCAGAAGAGAGATAAGAGAATCAGATTAAACTGTACCTGCTTCTGCTGCAACGTGGAAATTATAAAGTAAAGCAGGATACTAAATGTAGCTAGGATTTTTTTGGGACATCTTACAAAACAACATACTGGGTCTTACCATATCTGCAGAGAATTACACTTCAGTTTATCATGTTTATTCAGTGGTTTTCTAGTGGTTGAATGTATAATTGTGAACAACTCTTCACATTTATGCAGTGAATATTTTTAATTTATTTTACTGATTAAATGAAAATGTGAATATATTATTTTTATTTATATACATATATAAATTTGCTCAGTGCAACTTCAGATTTATACATTAGTAATTTGTGATACTCTGCAATAGCTTGGCTTACCAGAGGATGAGTTGGGAAGCCTTGAAGAAGTCGATCAATGGTCTTGTCAATAAAGTGAACGTTTCTAATATAGAAAACATCATCCATGAGCTCCTTCAGGAGAATATTGTTCGGGGAAGGTAAGCCTTAGTATTTTACAATAATTCTTTTGCTTTTCTGTAACATGTACATTCTTCATGTGTACACTGTTGTGTGTATTATTAGTAGTGTATGGGTGTTAGTCAGATCTTAGTATTAACCTTACTGTCCTATTCAGAATAGTCCCTTACTTGGGAAAGGGATTGTGTGCTTGGTGGAACAGAAGACTGCAACAGATGGTGTATATTTCCTTTTCTTAAGGTTTTCCCAATGCTTTTTGCTTGAATGACTTGTATTTACAGTTGTCATTGTCTGTCTATAAAATGGCACCATTTCCCTCCTTAGTTGGTTCTGTACTTCCAAACTTGCACAAAGGTGCATTTAAAAGTAATGACACAAACTTTTATCTGGCTGTCAAGTCCTTTCCTGAGGTTTTAAGTAGATGATAAATAAGAACTGAAACAGGCCACTTTCAGCGGAAGCATGACGTAACTAATTTCAAAATGGAAATATTCTATTTTTGTGCACTAGTATGAAGTGGGTTCTAGTCCACTTGTCAGTGCCAAAGTAAGTAGGAATAAGGTCCCTGTGCATTTTGTATTTATTGCTCCATAGGGGTTGTTTTTTAGTATTTCAATAGACCACTGAGAAGGTAGATTTGGATATCAGTGTGTACTTTGAAGATTCCACATTTGGAGGTTTGTTTTGTTTTTGTCCTCACCCACGTGTAGTTGAGTAGTACAGCAAAAGTCAAATTCTTTGTGCTCCTAAGCATTACAAAAAGCAAAATCTAGAGGAGGGAAAGCAAGTCAGAGATTCTTCTCAGTCTTTCTTGATAATAAATGTAAAAGACATAATTTGAATAATAAAAGAACTATTATCTCATGAATCCTTTGTTTGCATTCATTTAGGCTCTAAGCAGTATTTTATAGTCAGTTGAAGTTCAGATTAAAAAAGGGATAATTGCAGGATACAAGATGGCTTTTTTCATGCTTAACATTTTTAAGTGTAGCTCTAAAATGAACAATATTTAGTGAAAGATCGGTAACAGTTTAAGAACTTTTTGGTTCAGAAAGATTTGTCCAATACATTTTGCAACATTCCAATTGTGGCACGATAAACCATGGTATGAAAAAGACGATCTGGTTTCTTCCAGCTATTCCAGCTGCACAATACTATTTCATGTGGTAAATACTGAATAAAAACATTAGATGCTTTATCACCAGGAAGGTCTTTAAAACTTGCTTATTTTTCCAGGGGATTGCTGTCTAGATCCATTTTGCAAGCTCAGAGCGCCTCTCCGATTTTTACTCACGTTTATGCAGCTCTGGTGGCAATCATCAATTCAAAGTTCCCAAATATTGGTGAATTGATCCTCAAGAGGCTGATACTGAATTTTCGTAAAGGGTATCGCAGAAATGACAAGGTATGTAAAATATAAAGGAGCAACATGCTGAAATGTGGAATTCTGCAGTGTAAATGTGTCAGGTGTTCAAAGGAGCACAGCCAAGACATGGGTCAAGACCAGTCAATGGGACACTTAGTAGTATTAGAGTATCCTGAAAGTTTGACAACCTATTCTGGATTGATACTGTGATAGTTTGTGGTTTTTTGATTTGGGCAGGGGTGTTTAATTTTTTTATTTTTGAGTGTACACTCCTTATTGAGGAAAAACTACCAGTATCCTTAAATAGCTTCATGACTCTAATTTGTTTGTGAGATGCATTAATCTATGGTATGTCTGGGTTAGGAATTTCTTCTTCCATTTGTTAACATTTCCTGGTTTATTTCTTTTGCAGCAACTCTGTCTAACATCTTCAAAATTTGTTGCACATTTGATGAATCAGAATGTGGTATGTTTCTTTGTTTCTACTCAATCCAAACCCTGTATGGCTAATTTTTAGTTTTAAGACAGCAGTACCCTAAGCGAAGGTTCTCTGTCTCTTCTGAAAATTGCTCAAAGTGTGAGTGTGGTGCTTGCTTTAAGTTGTTAAGTTCTCTTTGTAAAAGATACTGGTAATTGCTTATGCAGTTATCACCACTTATCATTGCACTTAGGCTCCAGAACTGTCTGTCTCTTCTGAAAACTGCTGAAAGTGTGAGTGTGGTGCCTGCTTCAAGTTGTTCTCTTTATAAAAGATACTGGAAATTGCTTATGCAGTTATCACCACTTATCATTGCACTTAGGCTCCAGAACTTCCCAAGATTTCATGTGTGTGTTTGGGCTAGTATTCAGGCATGTCTTGATGCAAAGCAAGGACCATTTGGGGCTCTGTCTCACAGATCTTAAACAGAATTTTCTTGCAACATGTGTGTTAGCAGAAGTAGACACAGTTTCATCTCAATCAAATTTATATCCAACTCTGTTCCACTTGTTCATTAGTCAGAAATCAGGATGCTCTGATTTAAATAATGTCAGGAAGCAGTGTCTCAGGAATGTGTTGGGACTGTTCAGCATTTTGGTAATGAGGAAATGAATCTGCGATGGAAGATTTGCTTATATGCCTGGTCTTGGGAGATCTTATTTCATTATAGATACAATGCACTTAGAACTGGGTTCTGTAATGCAAGTGCTGGCTTGTGTGCTTCTTGGAAAAGCATTCTGTTAGGTTTTTAATGGCAAAATATTTTTCTTTGCTAGTTTGTTCACTTCAATATAACAATCACATTCACTAGAAAATTGGTGTAAATACTGCTGGTAAAATTGGATTTGAAATTTTGACTTCCTTTTAATCAGCTTTGTCCCACTGCTGCTGCCTTGTGTATGATAAAACTGCTATATTGTGGCATCCTCAAAGGCTGGACAAGTCTGTCCAGTAAATAACTGGGGTCATAGTGTAATATTCTGCATTCTCATTCTTTGCTGATACTTTTTCCACAGGCTCACGAGGTTTTATGTTTGGAAATGCTCACTCTGCTGCTCGAAAGGCCTACTGATGACAGTATTGAAGTAGCAATTGGATTTATTAAAGAGAGTGGGCTCAAATTAACAGAAGTTTCTCCTAGAGGTATTAATGGTAAGTATAGTTAGCCAAAACCTATCTTGGCATTGGTATTAGTAAATACCTTTCATGTTTACATTTCTCTCTTTTCCCAAGCAATCTTCGATCGCCTTCGACACATTCTGCACGAATCGAAAATCGATATGCGCGTTCAGTACATGATAGAAGTCATGTTTGCTGTACGGAAGGATGGCTTCAAGGATCATCCCATCATTCCTGAGGGATTAGATCTAGTGGAAGAGGAGGATCAGTTTACTCATATGTTGCCATTGGAAGATGACTACAACCCAGAGGATGTTCTTAGTAAGTTAGAAATGAAAGATAATTCCTTAACTGCATTCCCCAAGAAAATAAATTCAAGATTAAATATTAATAGCTTTCTTCAATTTGTGTTTAAAATAAAGATTCTCTTTTATTCTAAAGATGTTTTCAAGATGGATCCGAACTTCATGGAAAATGAAGAGAAATACAAAATGCTGAAGAAAGGTAGGGATATTTGTGTGTATGCACAGCCATTACCTATGGCATTTGCTTATTCAGCTGTTGCTGCCAACATTTATTTAACAGTGGGTGATATTTCTGTTCTATAAAACTCATTCAGTTCACATACCTTTCCTTAGTGTTTGTGCTACTCAGTGTTGTTTCTTCATCTGTGTTTCCGTTCACTTATGATATATATTTTTGGCTTCTTCCACATGCTGTACCTGAGACATCTTTCCACCCTTCAGGGGTGGGATCAAGGGGGTTTTTGTAATGAAAGTACTGTGGTGTGTGTTCCATTAATCTGGGATACTGCTCTTTCAGAAATTCTTGATGAAGGTGACACCGAATCTGAAGGAGATCAAGAAGCTGGAAGTAGTGAAGAAGATGAAGATGATGATGAAGACGAGGATGAGGATGGTAAGTGTATGACTGGCACCTTACAAGCAATTGATTGAATGTAGATAAACAGGAAAGAAGAGCTCAGCTTCTTAGATGTTTTGCAAAACTGAGATGCTCAAATGTTAAGGAGTTTTCCTCTTCAGTTATTCTCAGATCTAAGTGTTTACTAGCAAACGGTATAAAAGTCTGAAAGAAAGCATTCAGCACATTCAGAAAAGGAAAAGCAACTTAGCCACATTATTGTTGGCAGTATCAGTTTGAGATATTGATGATTTCCTTCACAGTATCCTTGGAGAAAAGCCTTGCAAATGTAAAACATGAAAAAGAGCAAAATGAAAACTCTTGCTTAAACTTTTCCATGATCTATCATATTTTTAAGTCACTTTTAAAATTAGGATGGATTTTCTTACAACTGTATTTACATCCTCCATATCTCACTTGGAGACAATACTTACTCATTTTCAAATAATGTATTCAATTCCCAGGAAAAAACAGTGATGGATAAGCATAACTGAAATTTTTGTGCGACTGCATGAGTAATGGAAAAGCCAGTCAAGTATTGTTCCTGTACAATACCAGGAATGGATTTCCGTACTAGTTTGGTGGAATATTTCATAGCAGAGTGTGGAATAGAATAGCAAAGCTCCCAGGCTCATGAAAAGTATCAACATTCCCATAACTTCTCATTTTTTATGCTTTTACCAAACTTTACAAGGCTGAAGTAGTGAGTATTTTACAAATTGAAGTGTTCCCAGAGCAGTTTGGTTCAGAATGATGCCAAAAATGGATTGCTAATAATATTGACAAGAAATATTAAACGTAGAGGTTGCAGTGACTAAGAAACATGAAATGTCTTTAAAAGAATTACCCTTTTAAAACTGTCTCTAAATATTTAATTTTGTTACAGATGAAGCAAATACTGATTTTTTTCTTTATCTGTAAAAATAAACATAAAAAATACATAAACCTGCAAACAGTCCTAAGTACTTCTAGAAAAATACTGTGCTACAGACTCAGTGAATGGTGAATAGAACTGTCCTAAAAAATTACTGCATATGTCTTCCTTAGTGTTTTGCTCTTTACAAACCCATGTTTTTCTGTTCCAGGTCAAAAAGTTACTGTCCATGACAAAACAGAAATTAACCTGGTCTCCTTCCGTCGTACAATTTATCTGGCTATTCAGTCAAGGTAAATATAAATTATACACCTAGGAGTGTAATTCTTTTGAAGTCAGTGAACTGTAATTCTTTCTTTTAAAATTATGTCTTAATGTGCAATTTAAAAGAAAAAAAAAGTAGGGAAGTGGTCTTCATGGAGCCTGACCTGTCTGTGTAAAGCAGAGTGTTTTCCAGATTCTAATTCTAAGATGAATCTTGTTTATTTTAAAATGTTTGGGTAGTGGACTGGGACTGTTGCTGTAATGAGAACTTTCTGAGTAAACAGAAGTCAGTGATCTTCAAATTTTACAGCATCTTGAGAATTTATGAAAAAAATTTGAGTCTCACTTAGATATTCTTGTAGTTTGTCTCCACTTCAGAGATGGAGTTCTTTTGCCATCCGCATTGTTTGGAAAATAAGTATGCAATTACCAGCCCTTGTAGTTATGAACTCCACTTGGAGTTTGTGGCACAAATATTCCAGACCTGCTGGGTGTGGCTTCTGTGTCACCAGGCTGAGAGGAGGGATTGATCCCCTGCAGCCCATAACACTGCAGGTGCGATGCTGCATGGTCAGTGCAATGATGTAGTTGTGGTGTTGATCATTAGATATATGAATTAATGCCATACTGAGGGTATCAAAGGCTCTCACATGTCTCAAAGTTACTGTTCAGTACTTTCTTGCCTTACTCAAACTTGTTCATCTGATGTGTGGGAGCTAAAGGCTTTCAGAACAGGATTGCAAAGAGGAGACTGTGGTATATATTGCTTTCAGAGCTAGTCAGAAGGGCTTGCATTTCAGTGTGCTTCAAAATGTGCAAAACAAGCTCCCACTTTTCTGTTTTATTAAGTTCTGTGAGATGATGTGATAGTAATAATGACTTGGATCATCTTGTTTTCAGATTGCCTGCAAATGTAATCACTTTGGATTAATTTTCAGATAGAAACTCATGAAATACAAAATGTTTATTAAAAAAAACACAACAGTAATAAAGTTTTAGCAAATCTAATGTCTGACATTCTTTATTTCAAAACAATTGAGGATTTAGCACCAATGATGATTCTTAATGTAGTTTTGGAATGTTTTTAGCGTAGCATATATTCCACAGATAATAAGTGGTTTTTTTTCTATTCAGCTTAGACTTTGAAGAATGTGCTCACAAACTGCTGAAGATGGACTTCCCTGAAAGTCAGACTGTAAGCCTTTACTCTTACTCTTCTTGTTACTAACATAAAGATGCAGTACTGTGGTAGTATCTAAAAACCTTGCTCACATTCCATGACCTTTTGTATAGCAGGCAGATGAATGAGAGTCATTCCTTACAGCTGTTGTTCCTCAAAATTTATTTCACAACCTTTAGAGCAAATAGACTGACACACATTTCATAAGCAATTTGTCTTAAGCATGTGCTCCTTTCTGTCAAGCAACACAAATGTCTTTTGAAAAGATCTGTTGTTTGGACTGGAGCAACACAAATGTCTGCTCATAGTCTTTTGAAAAGATCTGTTGTTTGGACTGGTGAAAGTTCTGTCCTATGACAAGAATACAGCACCATGACAGGGTTCTGTCTCTGAAAGGACTCTGGGTTGAAGGTAATATTTGCAGGGAGCTGAAGACTTTATCAGTGGGGCTTGAAATTTAGCACAGTGCTACGAGTCTGTTGTTTTGGTGCTTTCACAGTAAGTGAGTAAACAGCATATTGAATTAAAGCAGTTTTGAATGATTGCTTTGCTGTAATTTTGGAGATCGTGAGACTAAAGCCGTTTTGTCCTCAGACTCTCTAAGATCGATGCAATTGCTGTGTTTTCAAATAATGGAAACTGTTCTTCATCCAGTACTTCTGTTCAATACTGGTAGAATGTAAATACACATCTAATTTTCCAAGCAGCTTTTCAGACAGCTGTAAGCTGTTATCATAGGAGTTGCACTTGGGTGAGCATTTTAACTTCTTGCGGCTTTAATTATGAGTTTTATTTGAAACTGTGTGTGTAATAAGTAACTTTAGTATAATAATAACTAGTAAAGGGAGATCTGGGCTACACTTAGGTATTCTTTGAGAACTTTTTTGCCTATAATTTTTACAATTCTTGTACTGTTGCTTGTTTCTAAGCAATTTACATAGAAGTAAACTAAGAACCGAGATTGTGAATTTTTTAATCTAGTTCTCTGATTCTGTACATGAAATGCAATAATAAGCAAGCATAAGATTGTAATTCTCAGTGAAGTATACATAACCTGAAGAACTCTAAAGAGAAAAAAATCCTGTTGCCCAGCAAATCAATTCAGCTATAAAAAATAGACAAACAATCTAGAATATATGTACTAGGCCATACAACACAGTTACAGTGCATAAGACTACTTGCTTGTAGTGAGAACTACTTAACTCTTAGGATTTAACACCATGGCAGTCTCTGTCAGCTTCTAACTTCTGTGGGCAAAAGCTGCTCAGAAGAAATAAGGGAAGGAAAAAGAAAAACCCAACAATTAGTATCAACCTACAATTCAGTACTTGTTGTAGGAATCACTACAATTCAAGATTCAAAACTGTTGTAAAACTGTCCTCTTACCACATGGGGCTTCTACTTTGTAGAGGCGTCTATTGATTACTTTTTTCCTTAAGACTCCTAACTACCCTTCACCCCGTTTAATTAAAGATATGAGAGCTTTGACTTGCTCATTGTATAGAATTAAGCTCCTTTATGGGGATAAAAATCTTAAAGAAGAAAGACACTTCCTGATCATTGTGAGAGCAGAAGGAATAAGAAGATGTAGGCAGTAAAATTATTCAGGGGTTTCTAGGACTTCAGTCTGTACATGTGGATAAAAAAAAAGTGAATACATTCAGCAGGAAATTTGTTTAAATTAGCTGTCAGTTTTTAAGCTAGAAAAATCACCTTTTATTCATTCAAGCTACTGTCTTCAGACTGAAGCCTTTATTGAATTAATTCCCTCTGCCTTTATTAAAAAACAAGCTCTTAATGAGTTTGTAGATGACACCAAGTTGGGCAGGAGCATTGATCTGCAGGAGAGCAGGAAGGTAGAGGGGTCTGGACAGGCTGAGGCCATTGGTGTGATGTTCAGTGAGGCAGGGTGCTGAGTCCTGCCCTTGAGTCACAACAGCCCAGGCAAGCTACAGGCTGGGGCAGAGTGGCTGGAAAACTGCCCAGCAGCAGGAAGGAACCTGGAGGTGCTGGGCAGCAGATGAATGTGATCCAGCAGTGCCCAGGTGACCAAGAAGGCCAGTGGCATCCTGGCCTGGATCAGGAATAGCGTGGCCAGCAGGACAGGGCAGTGACCATCCCTCTGTACTGGAGACTGAGGCCACACCTGGAGTGCTCTGTGTGGCTGAGGGGAGCTGGGCTTCTTCAGTCTGGAGAAGAGGTGGCTCAAAGGGGACCTTATCACTCTACAAGTACCCAAAAGGAGGGTGTAGCCAGCGGGGGTGGTCATTTCTCACAGATAACAAGTGACAGCACCAGAGGAAATGGCATCAAGTTGCACCAGGTGAGGTTTAAATTAAATGCTAGGAACAGTTTCTTGACTGAAAGGGTGGTCAGTCTTTGAAGCAGGTTGCCCAGAGAAGTAGTGGAATCGGCATCCCTGGAAGTGTTCAAAAGACATGTGGGTATGGTTTAGTGGTGAACACAGTGGCATTGGGTTTATGGTTGGATTTGATCTTAGAGGTATTTTCAACCTTCATAATTCTCTACAACTATTATTTTAGCCATAAAGCACTTCTTGCTTTTTTGGTCTGCTTTACTGAAAGCTCCAGCAATCTGCATTTCAGGATGTTGCATCTTATTTCTTCACACTTTCTGATTCAAAGGTTTAAACAGTCTTGAGAAATTCCTGAAATGTTTGCTGAACTCTTGGGTGAACCTGCAAACTTTGTTTATGCTCATTCTCTGTTCCAACTCCTACTATGAATGGCAGTCTTCATGAGAAGCAGGAACTAGAGCATTTAGCTGAAGTATTCCTTAAAAATCAGGTGTAACTTAAGATTTTCATTGCAAAATTTTTATTCAAATCAAATCTGATTTTACAGTAACAGTCTGCTTTTCTTCTGAAAGGCTTCACTTAATAAAGCAATATGTATTGAATTTTGTCATAAAGAGTGTTTTCCACAAGCTTTGAGTAGTACATTGTCAATTACATACAATCAAAAAACTAATTAGAATATCTGAAACCTAAAGACAGATGCATACAACAGGTTTGAGACTAATACAGTCTTAATGACCATCTTTCTGGGTAACTCTTCCAGAAATCTTCATGTGTAGAAACTTCTGGTGTGATTATCAGGGTTGAGTTTAGAAATACATTAGCACTTTTTACCAGTGGTTGAAGTATCAGATCATTGTGTCACATTAACTTCTGTGCAACACAAGTTGTTTGTCTGTTTAATACCAGTAATGGATCTATCACCCAGCTCTGACTCTCTGACTCATAGAAAGAGGATTAAGGTTCAGATGGATAATCTGTGGACTGGAACATAATACTGCTTTTTGGCATTGCAGTTTAAGACCAGCTGCTGAGGAGTCACAGCAGTCCTGTGATTTTTTTTTTTTTTTTTTTTTTGAGGGAAAACATTTAATGTGTTATTTCATTTCTAAGTAAATTTACTAGGAGTGGGTTTGCTTTTATTCATGTTATTTAGACCCAGCTGAAGCCCACAGATCAAAAGTGAAATAGCTTTGCTGTCTGTACTTCAGTCTGTGCAAAGCTGTTCTAAACAAGCCTTGCAATTGCTTCTTTGAGCATATGTTCAGTCTTGGCAGAGCTCACTGTTTTACTTTTTTAAAAAATACTGTTATTATCTCTGTTAAAGCTGTGTTAATCCCATGTATTACCAAAGAAGAAAATTTAAATAAATGAAAACTGTAGTTAGAGGAGTGTGGTATTACCGGTTGTTCTGGCTTCTGAACTGTGAGGAAAAGCAAGCAAACAAGCCTGGCTGAAATGCAGACAACTAAAAATAATTAAATCGACCATACATTGTTCTTACTCTGTGAAAATGTGCCTAAAATGGATTGGCTTTTAGGCTTTTCTTCTTTCTAGGTTTCTGATAAGAACTAAACTTGTATAAAGAAATGTTCTAAATTAAATTAGAGCCTCTTCCAACACTGTGCATATTCCAGATAAAGGTAATGCGTCACCAGATTTTATTTTCTTTACTTGAAATGAAAAAAATTCTTGCAGGCACAGCCTTCTTGAAAGAATTATGCATGCATCTGACACATCTCCATTTTTACGGGGTGGTGTCACTTGCTCAAAGCAGTCCTGGTTGGTGGTGTGGGAGTGTCAGTGTCTCGTGTTATTTATGCCTTGAGTCTTGAAGATAACACAAGTACTTAGGTTGGCTTGACTGTTTTCACTTTGAGTGAAAATATAGTTCAGCAAACTGATGTAGAGCAGGGTGGTCTAAGGCTGATAATTACATTTTGGTCTAATTGATGATTTCTTAGATACATTAATTTCTTCTCTAATTGGAGGGCATTGCAGCTGGTAGGTTTAGCAACTGCACCATGATTAGTTAATTAGTTCACAGCCTTGCTACTGGCCCTAAAAGATAATCATCCTCAAGTAGCTTTCCTGTCTTTTGATGTTGGCCTGAGGAGCAGGATCATTCTAAATTTCCATGATTTGTCAATTAAAAAAAATTATCACATGCACATACCATGTTGTGGTATTTGTTGATGTCTGCAAAGTGAAGGTACAGAATCCATACAGAATTAGGCTGTTGTGTTACTGATAGCAGGCATTAGAATTCTGCCTAGATTTTGGTCTTCCACAGATTTGTGTAGGCATTTAACCTAAGGAGGTGGAATTGCTCAGTGAAATCACTTGAACTGAAGTTTTGCGTGTGCAGCCTTCAGGCAGTAGGAAAGAGATACTCTGGGACTTCTATGTATTGTTCCATTTTTGTGTGTTGCAGACTAGTAGCAGCATGATTTAAAATATGTCTGTCCTTATATCCAGTTAATGATTCCAGTGTAAAATATTAACTCTGATTTACACAAGATTTGTGATAACCATATTCAGTTTTAAGCATATGTTGCTCTAAACAGAAAAGGGATTGAGCAAAAAAAGGGACAAAAGCTGAGGAAGACCATTAGCAGAGCACAGGACAGACATGGAGACTTTGTAGTAGCTGCTAAAATCACTGCACATAGCTTGACAAGAAGCTGCCTGCTGCTGAAACACCTTCCGTGGCTTTGTCAGCTTTGGCTCTAAGTGGTAACTTGACAAATTAAGAAGAGAAAGCAGAGATGCTGGGAAAAGTAGGCTGTGTGATGGTTACACCCATTAAAATATGCAGCAGTAAGGAAAGCTTTAAGGTAGTCAGTGGGAGTAAAATAGGCATCAGTGAATTAAACAAGAAAAAAGAAGTGTGGCATCTGTAAAAGCAGTAAAAATACATGAAATGCAAGGCACTCGTTTCACATAATTCCAATTTCACATTGATTTAAATGAACCTGAGGCCTGCACTAGGTTTGCTCCTGGCAAACCAATTCCTTTAGTTCCGTGAAGAAACTTCTAGAAATGAAGTGTTGACATTGAAAATGTTATATTTTAAGAATAGCTTGCAGGGTGGGGATGTCTCATGATGGCTTCAGCTTGTGTATGCAATGGATGGAACAGAGCTGTGGGCTGGCAGGGGAAGGGGGAAGTGGCATCACTTGCAGCCATGGAGGGCAGAAGTGACCTCCACGTGGAGGCAGCCTGGGGGGCAGCTCTGAAACTGCAGTCTTGGCTGAATGCAAATCTTACAGAAATTGCAAAAAATGGTGAGAAGGAGCGGGGGGAGTACTTACTACTGTGATCAGAAGGGGATAAGTTACTTTAGCACTTCTACCTGCCGTGAACACAGCCCTTGTGTGAAGCTGAGAGAAGATAGATTGGGCAGGTTTTGCTTGTGTTTTAAAATTGTAAAACCAGGAGAAAAAAACAAAACAAGTCTGATTTTTCTGTCTTTTCCTTTAGCATCTTTGAATGTATGATGGTACTTGCCATGTTAGGTTGAGTCACGGTTCATCTAAACTGTTACTCTGTTTGGGTAAGAGCAGGTAGAGACTGCTCAGGGAGAACTGTGAGAAATGCACTGCATTTAGAAGGGGCTTTCTCCTTGTCTTTTGTCTTAGCAGTTTTGGGAAGTGCTGTTGTTGTCTATGATACAATAATAAATTCAAGATCTTCACAAAAGATGATTCACCATCTGTATGAGATGGATATTTTGAAGTGTTTTACTTCATGATTGGATAGCTATTTATGCTTTCTTAACTAAGCTGAGTAGTTACTTATTGAGCATTGTATGAAAATAGTTAAACAACACAATATAGAAATTGCCTGTAAAATTGGGGAACAAATTATTTGTGGTCTTCAAAACAAGTGATGGGCTAAATAACAGGCTCTTCATGCCATAAACATCATTGGGAGTACAGATACTAGTTCACTAACTTTTGAAGCTGTAAATTAAGCTAGAATTGCCATCTGAGCTGGTTGCATCTCTCAAAAAGTAATTAAATAATTGCAAAGTTTGTTAATTTTAAATCTGAAAGACAGTTACTCTAGACCTAACCTCAAATTGTTTGGATAACACCAGCAAGAATATCTTTATGGGCAAACCTTATATTCGTGCATGTGGTTATTCAAGATACCCTCCTAGAAATCATTGTAATATTTAATTAAAATGTTAAAATATTTAATTACTGTAAACCACAGGGGATACCAAGCCTATAATTGCATTTCAAATGAGGAAGAAAAGTGATTTGTTTTTCAAGTCTTCCTGACATTATTAACAGTGGCATCAGCACTTTACCCTTTTTATTGTTAAAAACTGATTAACTGCAGCATTACTGTAAAATGGGATAATATAAAAAGTTAATATGCATTTTAATACATCACATTAACACTGTGTGACAGTGTTAAAAGGAATGCCTCTAAACACATCTGTAAGTTTATTTGATACATTACTGCCTTGTTATTTGGAGGAGTGGTTTCTTTTCTTGTTCAGCATGGTTGGCTTTTTATTTGTTTTGAGCTTTTCTGATGGGCAAAAATGTTCCTTCTGAATACTTGCTTGGAAGAATGACACAAGTGGGAGAACATGAAATCCAGTATGAAATCATCCGGTAGTTTTTATAGGAATGTTACTATTAGTTTAAAGAGAAGTTGAACTAATAATGAAAGATACATGACTGACAGCCAGAAACCTATTTGGGTGTGTCATAAATTGGATCACACTAGGGAATTGGTCTTAGGAGAAAACAGTAATAAAAAAGTGAATGGGCAAAAACTGCAGGGCTATTTTAAGCATTGTGTAACTTCATGGCTTTTCATTTGTATAAAAACATTTGCTCACTTGCCTTAATTAATGTTACCAAATGTACCCTAAACCAATTCACAGCTGCATTACAAGCTGTGTCTCAGGCAGAAGGTCAAGGGAGTAAGTTTGGAATACTTCTGATTTTGGAAATAACTGCTAAGAAAGGCATGTTGCGTTTCCAAACGGTTTGTCTGTAAGCCATTTTAACACTTGGAAGTTTAAAAGAATTTTTATTTTCTGTAAATGCCGGGATTGGTACTATTTCAAACAAACAAAAAGAAACCCTATGAAGAATATCACAAAAAGAAGCAACTGACAAACAAAACCAAAACCACGAAGAAAGCCCTCAAAACCTTCACTTTGTGCATTGTGTTAACACATAAATCTTAGTTTAAGCAGAAGAGGAAATTTGCAGGGCAAAAGTTCATATTCATGTCCCAGAGAAATTCAGAAAACTACTGGTGTTGCCAATGAAGTTTGATGTAAATACTCTTTTCAAAGCTCACATCTATATAAGGCTTCATTCAGTTGCCTGGTATGTACTGATAGGTTTTTTTGCTGCTACAGTGAATTTACCTGGAGAAATATTCTTTTTTTCATAACCCAGAAAGAACTCTGCAATATGATACTTGACTGCTGTGCTCAGCAAAGAACGTATGAGAAATTCTTTGGGTTACTGGCAGGGGTGAGTTCTATTTCAGATTTTGTACTTTATGATAGAAAATTTAATTGTTTCACTCTATTTTTTGTGTGTCAAACTTAAGTTTTAATGGATAAATAAAACAAATAGTCTTTTTATCATTCTGAAAATGCTTATGTTAGTTGATTGTTTTAGTGGATTGAATTAGCAATTTGATTGTAAAAAGCATAGTAAATGCCAAATGAGAGAATTCACTTTCTTTTTATGTTGTTGCTTATTTTTCCTCCCTTTTTTCTCATTGTGGTAGAACAGTAAATCAGTGGCAAAGAAATGGTAAAAAGACATAATAGTGTTATGAGTTGCTAGAAAATAGCCTTTTTACAAAGCTGAAGAATAATCTTGGAGACTCTTGTAATTTACCACCTTGTTCAAAGCTGCTTAGCAGGTTTAATTTAGAGCACAAGATTGAATACTTACTGTCCTGGGCTTGGGGTGTTTTGTTTGCTCTTCAATAACCAGCTAACTCTCTGGTTTTGTGTAACTAACTGCTATTTTAGCTGCAGTTATTTCTTATTTAAGGTTTCCTTATCAATAATATTGACACGTCTGAAGAGTTAAGATGAAGTACTTGTCTTCTCAAGGGAACAAGCTGTGCTGAAAGGGAATGTTTCTTTCCGTTTCTATTTTTCATCCATTATTCCAGGAAATCCTTTTGCTGACAGTCAGTTACAAAGCAGTAACCATATGAATCTGCATGTTTAGATGAATATAAATGTTGATTTCTATATTCTCTGAAATATTTATGTCCAAAATGTCTTACTCCTGCTTCCTGCTGCCTCTCTAAATTGAAATAGTCATTTAGTTATGAAAAAACTTTGGGTTGTATCAGGTGAAAATACTTGATGTATAGAAGTCAAGCAAAATGCTGGATAATTTGCTGTAGTTCAGAATTGATAATTACTGCTTTGCAATGCAAATGAGTTTCTTACCCTGACAAACTGCTCGAAGCTATAAAATATATCCATTTGAGTATTTGCTCTAATTCCAAGGGTTATTTAAAACAGAAGTCTTGCAGTAAATATTTACACCATTAGGTCACTTAGTTGTAGGTTATTTGCATGTTTAGTGTTTTGTTTAAAGTGGTGGTTTAAATAGTACCACGTTGTTTCAGCGTTTCTGCATGCTAAAGAAAGAATATATGGAGTCCTTTGAAGCCATTTTCAAGGAGCAGTACGACACCATTCATCGTCTGGAAACGAACAAACTGAGGAATGTGGCCAAGATGTTTGCTCATCTCCTGTACACCGATTCGATTCCCTGGAGTGTAAGTTAAACCAAAAAGCCATTGTTCTTGAGCTCCAGTACTCCACAGTAACATACAGTACATTAATTCTCATTAATTCTAGTATTATTCTACAGTTTGTAATGACTTGTGGCAAACTGGATTATCTTAAGTAACTTCACAGACACTGTTGAAGAATTCTGGTTTGTTCCATCTCCTTTTTTCCCCCTCTTGTGTGTCATCATCTTCTCTCCCCATTTTTCGGTAGTTGATTTAAGCTATTATTTTAAGGAATTGAGCTGGAATTGGTTGATTAAAAAGCACTTCTTTTGGAAAAGAGTTTTGAGCTTCTAAATTTTGATAAATTAGAAATTGTATTGAATTATAAGACAGTTAAAAATACTGTCATTTTATTATTTAAATACCTAATAAATAAAAGCAGTCTCACATTTTGATATATATTATTATATAGCATTAAAAATGAAGAAATAAATATCAAGGTAACTTCTCATATTGTTTTGTTCTTGTTTCATAGCCTAGTCTGTCATTCTTCAAGCAGAAATAAATCAGTCCAAATATTTTACCTCTCCTGTATTTAAGTCCCAAATCTCTTATACTTGTCAGAAGTTCACGCATCTGATTTTGTCTCATGGAGCTTTCCTAAATAAAAAAAATCCTTAAAGAATTACTAACATAAATATGATCAGCAGTTTCTCCCATGTGATAGAAAAGAATTTTTGAAAAAGACAGTCTTGACTAGAATTTATGAACCTTGGGGAAAAAATATCAGTCTTTATTAGTTATTTGGAGGACAAAAGTTTCTAAGATGAGAAAAGAATGTACGTTTAAGGTTAATGCTTTTCTGAATATTTTCAGGTCCTTGAATGTATAATACTGAGTGAAGAAACTACCACATCCTCCAGTAGAATTTTTGTCAAAATATTCTTTCAGGAACTCAGTGAATATATGGGACTTCCAAATTTAAATGCAAGATTAAAAGATGTGTAAGTTGAAATTTTATTTTCAAAACTGTAAATTTAATTAGGTTCTTTATCTGAAAACATACAGCTAAGAACTCTGTGTTCAGGTTCAAGTGAGACTGCCCTTCTGTAGCTGCAGTACTTCAAGAATAAGTTCATGTATAGATTTAGTCACTGCAAGGAGTCACTTTTGAAGCTGAGTGCCTTGCTGTCATTTTGGGTTCAAGTACGTGCATGACTCTTTGCAAGATGTATCTGTTCCCCCTCCGCCCCCCAGTGACACTCAGCTACTGTAACAATTTCCAAGTGTGAGTTTATTTTTATGTATTGTCAGCTGTATAGCTGCATAATAAATGTTGCTGGGGCTTCTCTTTCTGGCAAAACTCTAGGAAAAAAACACACAACTATTAGTAACAGTTTCTCTAGGATTACTTACTAGTCCTTAAATGTAGTACACTTAACATTCTTTTAAATCTGTATGGAGTTTAATGTGTTACATTCTGACAATGTTACTTGCAGTTGCTTGAGCTACTTCCTCTAAGTTGGGATTTCTTCTGTGTATGGTGAAGAATTTGGTAGATGCTTTAGTTCATGAAAACTTAAATTTGAAACTATCCCTAAGGCCTTATATGAGGGGATTTCAGCATGGATCCCTAATTTTTGTGCTTCTTGGTCACCACCTGTTATCCTTTGCTATCCTTAAATGTAGTATACCTAACATTCTTTTAAATCTGTATGAGATTTAATGCGCTACATTCTGACAATGTTACTTGCAGTTGCTTGAGCTACTTCCTCTAAGTTGGGATTTCTTCTGTGTATGGTGAAGAATTTGGTAGATGCTTTAGTTCATGAAAATTTAATTTGAAACTATCCCTAAGGCCTTATATGAGGGGATTTCAGCATGGATCCCTAATTTTTGTGCTTCTTGGTCACCACCTGTTATCCTTTGCTATCCCAGGCTGCTGCAGTTCCACAGGTCACTTCAGGGCTTCACAAAGTTGGGGTTTCTGTTGTCATTATCTGTCACTATGTGTGGAGCTCTCCTGTGTGTGAAGTTTGTTTTCATAAAAGAGCAAGTTTTTAAATAGCATTTGATTAGATGCATCCAAGGTACAAACAATGAAAGTGTTGAAAAAGGCACAAACAGAAAACTTTTGCTTTCTTGTGGAGATTCATCAGTTTCTTTTTCAGTTTCTTTATGTCAGTGGGAGTGCTGAGCTGGCATGGTGTTTGATATAGATGTTTGTTTTCATCAGGACACTGCAGCCTTTCTTTGAGGGATTATTGCCTCGGGATAACCCAAGAAACACTCGCTTTGCCATCAATTTCTTCACTTCTATTGGCCTTGGAGGACTAACGTGAGAAACACTTTTCTCATTAAATATTTACCTTCATCTTCCCTCTCCCCCATGAACAAAAAGATAAAATTGAAGAACAATTTTTTCTTTTCTTTTTGCTAATTAGGGATGAATTACGGGAACATCTTAAAAATGCACCAAAGTTGATCATGACACAGAAGCAAAATGTTGAGTCATCAGATTCCTCCTCATCTTCAGACTCAGACTCTTCCTCAGATTCTGATTCTGACAGCAGCAGTAGTAGCTCAGAGTCATCGAGCAGCAGTGACTCCTCATCTAGCAGTGACAGCAGCAGTGACTCAGGTATTTAAACACCAGCAGTACAACTATTTTCTTTTCTTTTCTTTCTTTCTCAGATATGTATATTGTTCATCCTGTGTATACTTCTTTTGAGGAAAATGTGGCTGTAGACAGTGGTCATTTCTCTGTTTTAAAAACTAATCTTTTTTAACTTTATGTTTTAAAATATTGAATATTTTCCGAGGAAATTTATTTTTGAATTTGTACTCAAAGACAGAGTTCCATTTTTAGAGACTTAAATATATGGAATCATTCATTTGTAGATTACTTTTTTCACACAATTGATATCTGTTGCACTCTACTATGACGTCAGTTTATTGGAGGATTGAGGGATTAGAGTCATTCCCAATATTTTCTCTGCGTTTACTGGTAGAGACTCATGTCTACATCTCTTTTTTCTTGGCTTAATTAAGTGAGCTTGATACTTCTTGTGTCTTTCCCTGGAAATATGTGCTTCTTCCTTCTTCCCTCCAGAAGCCAGTCCTTCAGTTCTAGCAATGTGTTTAAATATTGTTCTCCATCTGAGTCCCTATTTCTAATTCCTCTCCTTCAGGAAAAGACTGTGTGGCAATATAGGGAAAATTCTTGTCTGTAGAGGAATTTCCAACTAAGCTTTTTCTTATAATTTATTTTGTATTTTCATGCATTATAATTACTGTTTATTGTCTTATACTGTTGTGCTGATGTAGAAACTTCTATTAGACATGAACTGTCATAACCATTGCTTAGTCTTTAAAGTAGTTGCTATTATGAGAGAGTTTGTGCAGTCTCCCCCAGTATATATAGCAGGAGCAGATGATAGCACAGCATGACTTCCTGTAGCACAGAAGTTTGCTGATTCAAAGTTAATTTGATTTATTACATGTCTTTGAAATGAAAATGACGAATAGAATAAAAGCAGTGTGAACTGCTCCTGCTTTGGAAATGCAGTTCTGCTCTCCAGCACAATCTCCTGTCCAAGGTGGAGCTGTGTGTCACGGCTAACAGCATTAGTGACGACAGCACGGGAGGAGGGCGCAGCCAAACAGGGTCAGAGGAGGCACTGGTTCAGCACAGAGCCAGATGGTCCTGCAGGGACAGCTGCAGCTCTGCTGAGCTGCTTGATAGCAACCAGAGGGGTCAATCCTTAGTGACAAACCAAGTCTGCAGTCTGGGACTAGGAACAGGGTTTTTCAAAGTTTAGGAGCTTCTGTTTTACTACTTGCCTTTTCTCCATTGAGGAACACATTCGTTAAAATTCACATCTTGATACCTTTGCAGCCTGCTTACACTTTTCAGTTCCTTGTGTACCTTAATACAGTGGTCAGAACACTAGTTGGAGACAACAGTAAGCTTTAATGGTTAACTGAGTTGAGGTTCCATTAGTGATTGTACCTCTAAAGTCTTCCTGTGTTTGCAGCTTTTTAAATCTATAAAATTACTTGGAAGACTTATGAGGCATTTTTCAGAGGAATGTGTGGCAGTATTTCAGTGTTGGTGCAGTGCATGAAAAAAAATAGAAAACCTGCTGATCAGAAGTTGAGCTAAGTTAGAGATTACTGCGGTACTGCCTGTTAATGCTTGGAACTTCATCAGCTTGCTCAGCACTGCCCTGGGGAGGTAGTTCTAAAACAGGTCCAGCAGAGGATAAAATACATCTGCCATCAAAGCAGCTGGTTCTTTTCTGTTTGCTTTCTCAGGTCTTTTCCTACGTACTGGTGGATGTAAAATAGTATGGAAAACACTGCTTAAAAAACCATAATGGATTAAAATGTATCTGAATTGATCCATCATTGCATTTTAACAGAATGTCAGCAAGCCTTAGTTCAGACACGAGCCTAGACAATTCAGATAATGCATGTACTAGTAAATCAGTTCATGGCTGTGATATTTTCAAAAGGTGATGAGAAGCAGCTGATGTGATTCTATAGTTCATGCACTAAGGTGAATGAATGGTTACTGTAAATGGCTGTTAGTGCCAAATACTGTCGAGTGGAAGTTAGTTTTAGATAGCTTGTTGGCAAAGCTATCACTGTTCCTCCTGAAAAATGAGCCTGAAGGCCATTGTTATAGTGCTGCAATACCATTATCTCAAGCCATTTCATCCTACGTCTTTTTCCTCGTGGGATAGTGTTGGGAGATTGTACCTCAACTGCTGTTTTTCATCTCATTGACTGATAAGGTTTTCCAGGAAAAGTAAATGATTTTGAGACTGGATAGTCTGGGAAAGGTCATCTTCCTAGAAAAAAAGATTATTTGTGAGAGTGCTTTGGTGTATGACTTTACAGCCTATGCCTGGTCCTTGGGTACAAGTCAGCAAGAGGGTGATGACAGGTAGAGGTGTTCAAAAGACAGGCATCACATGCAGATAGCAAAGGGATAAAAATCAGGAGTTCATTATTTTGGACTCTTTGTCCAGATACATGTGCAGAAATGTTTTCTGGCAAAAAGCACTCTCTAGAACTCTTTCTGTAGTTTGATAAATTTAATATACTAAATTAAAATGCAACCTTAGTTCCATAATTTGTTATCATTTCAGATGTTTCTAAAGCCAAAAGGAAGAGAACACAAAAGAAAAATAGAGAATCTGAGAAAGTTTCCAGGAAAAAACAAGAAAGGAGAAGGAAATCACATGAAAAGAAAATTGGAAGGAGGCAGCAAGAGGAAAGAAGTGATACTGAGAGCAAATCAGAAAGAAATCACCGACACCTAAGAGAATCACATAGGAGAGATGAAGGTTCAAAGTACCACCACAGAGATGAATCCAACGGCAGAGATGGTTACCACAGCGGAAAGGATAGGAGCCATGACAGAAGTAAGGATCCAGAAAATAAACACAGTAATTCCAAACTGAAGAAAGCAGAAAGAAGAGCTTCTGTGTCTGATGATGAAAACTACAGACATAGGAGCAAAGACGATGGACATCGGAGTAGGAAAAGAGAGCGATCCAAGTCCCGCGAGAGGGAGCGCGGGCGCTGCAGCCCGCGGGAGGAGGAGCAGGAGGAGCGCCCCAGGAACGGCTCGGAGAGGCAGCAGCGCGACAAGGGCAGCCGGCACCCCGAGGAGCACCGGGAGCAGCACCGGGAGCCGCGCAGGAGCGACGACCGGCGCAGGGACAGCTCCCCGCACCGGCGGAAATGAAACGCGGCCACCAAGGTGCATTCCCAAGCTGGTAGAACTGTATTTTAAAATCTGTTACTGAAGTTTCTTTGAAAAGAAGATTTTGTACAAAGCGATAGTTGGCATTTGTAAATTTTACCAGACTTTTTCAAATTTTCAGTAACGCTTTTTTATAACTGTATCATTGAATCTTTCTGTTATGTTCATTATTTGGAAAGACAAAGCTCTTTTATTTTGTGAATAAAACAGTAAGATACCAGCAAATTGGGTATTTTGTCACTTAGTTTCAAGTATTTCTAATTGTACCTTCACAATCTAAAAAACCGTTGGTTTTTTACTTCACTTGTTAAAGTGAAAGCCAGATGCTGAGGCTGGGATGAAAATGTTAAGAATTTCAGACTCCAATGTGAATGTTATGTGAGAAAACGATAAAATTTTCAAACAGGCATTCTATATCTGCATGTTCTTTCAACCTTGCAAGCATGAAAGCCTTTTGACCAAAATTTTCAGGAAATACTCAGTTGATTTTTTTTTCTTCAAGACTTAAAAATTGAAAACACAATGTTGCTGTTTTAAATGTCACATGTGAAAGTGTGTCAGCTTGTTCTGTGACTTTTCACAATGTTTTTTAATATTGTGACATCCTGAGCTAGTTTCACTTGTGATCTTTTTGGAAAAAGGGTTGGTTTGGTTTTTATTTTTTAAGTTGTGACTTTGATTTCCACGTCTTAGTCTTCAACTCTATCCCTACAGCTGGAACATTTAAGGAACTTCTTTTCCAGTATATAAAAACAAGAAAGGAAAACAGGAGATATCTCAAATATTTTTAGATGTTTTGAAGTGCTCAAGTGTTTTGGAAGCAGAATTCAGAAAAAAACAACCCTCAGTTAGTGCACCACTTTATGATATAAAAATGTTGTATCTGGGGTCATGGGGTGCAACTCAGTCTTGATTTCATGAGAAATTAATCAAAATCATCTGGTTAAGACTAATTCTCAATAGTAAGTTACATAAAAATTTGCAAAGTCTTCAGGATTGAAATAGGAAATAGTGTGGAGGCATGGTCAATAGGAAAGAGGTGGTAGTTGCAGATTATGCAGTTATTGTTGCTGAATGACATTTTTTTACTTGTGAAGTGAATACAATTGCTGGACACAAGAGAACTTTCATATTTCATGTGTAAATCATATTTCCTGTATAAAGCATGAGAAATACATTTGAGCTGTTTTATAACAGAAAGCAGAACCATTCCTAAGGAAATAGATCAGTTTTGCCTAAATCTTGTCACAGCATTTTTCTAAGAAAAATGTCTAATTTTTTTCTGTATTTGACAGAATTTATTTCTGCAACCTTACATGTAAAAAAATGTTTTCAGTCAAAAACATTTTCATAGAAAATAAAGTTATATTGTAGAATAAAAAAGATTTCTATCTTGTTAAGGCACACAGCTAAAAATACTTTGATGGCATCATGTGTTACATGTTTAAACTGTTGGCTTTTTGCCCAACGCACATCTCATTGTCAAAATGATGTGTGCATTTTGGCAGTGTGTTAAATCCACAAAAAACTTAATTTAAAAGAATGTTTTCCAAAGAGAAATCTGCTAATTCTTATGTTTCTTTCATAGCTCTGTATGCACATTATTGAAAAGAATCTTGTAACATTTATTCTGCAGCATCCTGTGCCAGCAGTCCAGTGTTTACTATAGAGTATCTGTAAAAGCATGATTCTTTTATAGCCTCTGCCTGATCACTTGAATTTGCTACTTTGTGATGTGTTTTCCTTGCCATCTTGTGTGTAATTTTATAGACCTAAACCTGTATATTTGCCATTTTTGTTTTCTAGCAGTTAAAATTCACCTGCGGGCTCGCCTTATGCCAGTCTGCTCTACAGACTTGTCCTCCTGCCTTTGATTTATTTTACTGTATTTTTTACAAGGGAAAGAAGTCAAAATACTCTGTAGTATTCAAAATGAGGGTATTCCAGGAGATGCACAGTGCCATAAGAGTTGTGGGGGTAGTTCTCAGTTGCTGTAGAGCTGAGTGACACTGGGTGGTCTGGGCTTGCTTTCCTCGGCAGTGACAGCTGATTGTAGACCCCGCGCAGTAAAGGAGTGACTCGTGCCTCTTGTCTGTAATTAATACTGGGGCTCTTGGTTGTGATTGGAACAGCAGTTTTGACTGAGAAACTTCAAGAAGTGGAGGTCCTGTGATTCTCTTCACTGTTTTGTTCAGTTCTTCATTCTTGATACTTAAAACCAAGGTTGCAACACCTTGGCCTTGGCTTGGGAGATGAGTGGTAGAGGAATCTGGCAGACTTGACTGAGCATCAGAGATTTGTGGGAAGGAATTTTTGATGACCTGCTCTGATATTGCATGCTTAAATCTTAGCTTTCAGATGTGGTTGTAACATCCCCGTCCATAGATACAGCGAGAGAGGCTGCATCCCTTTTCTAGGAGTGCCTGGCCAAGTTCCTGAATTTCCTCACAGTGGTGGTGTGAGGTGTTAAAGAGATGAGCTGCTGACGCACCCAGCAAATTCCTGTTGGTGGAGGAATAAATCTTGACTGAAGCATTTGTGGTATTGGTAAGAACTGTAATTCTGCTCTCTAACTATATTTGGAGCAAGGTCTCCAAGTGTGGCTGTTCATATGCTCAAATCTAAAGTGTTTTTTTTTTTGGGGGGTGGGGAAAGACTACCACTGTTCAGGCTAAATTGTTACGTAAATCATCAAAATACAGTATGAAAGCAGATAAATTTTGGGGAAAAAAGTTTGTTTAAAATACACCTAAATTACCTTTAACAGATGATGCTTTCTGAAGCACTTTTAGTTGCTGTTTAAGCAACATTGCACTCTTCAGATAGCAGATAGATAGTTCATCTCCAGGACTGCGTAGGAATGGAGGGGTGACTACAGTCATGTTTTTCTGCTTGTGTTACGTTAAATTAATTTTATAGTCAGATCACTTACATACTGAAATTCAAATTCAGTTTTTGAATATTACTGGTAGTGCTAACTAGATGTTAATGGTACAGTATTTTAACCTAGGAGCATGGTATTCTCTAATTTACTTGAGACTCTAGTAGCATAACCCTTCTTAACTTAAATGCAGGGTGTACTCTAAAATAGCTTAGTACATGTCAGACTCCCAAAAAATACATGAGCTAGGGTGGGTGCTTGAATCTCCAGTAGCAATTTAAATGCCTGCCTGCTATTACATTGGTACAGTTTTATAAATATAAAAGAAAACAGTAGCTTATCCTCATACATCATTCTTAAACTACTTTGAATTGTCTTTCACTACTGAGGAAAGCATAAGAATAATTGTCTCAGACAATCCAAGAGAGTAGGAGTCTGTTATTATGTGAGCAGAGAATTTTCTCCACTTACTCTAATAACATGCAGAGAGTAGGGAGACCAGTCCTTCAATTTATTTTCAGCAAGATTAAGTATATTTTTAACGTGTTTTAAATTTGTCAGAATATTTTTAAGAAACTGAAATCAAAATGCAGACTATAAGGAAGTATTTTTATTAAAACTAGGCAAAAAATGAATTATAGAATAAAAGAGGCAGGAGGAAAATACAATTTTATAAACTGGAAAAACTTTAGGTCAGTTAGGAGATGCTCTGCACTTTTTTAGGTTTTCCTCAAGTCTGTAATTTGGCTGAGACTAGTTAGGGATTTTCTTTTCTTGTCTACTCATGAATGTCATCAAGCATTTTTCCTTTAACTTCAAAACAAAAAAAGGGGGAGAGGATGCAGCTTAAAACCTTGGTATTGTTGGCCCAGAGGATGCAGCTTAAAACCTTGGTGTTGTTGGCCCATTAAGAAAACTAACTGCCACCTTTTAACTGTTCAAGCTGTGTCCATTTTGAGTATTTTTGCCCATTATTTTGTGAAATAAAGGGGGCACCAAAATCTTTCCTGAGGCAGAAAATAAGGTGCAACTTTCCTTAAGGTGGTGAAGGAAAGAGCAAGGATGTGCAAGAGGATGTAAAGCTCTGTGAGAGAATTTGTTTCCAGTGTCAGGGTGCCCATGACAGGTAAGAAGTGAAGTCAGAGCTGGTTTTGCCAGGGCTGCTGGCACGGGTGTCTGGGTGCAATGCTGATTGGTTTTCACTTGGTGGCTGGTATTGTTTCTTAATTACTTAAACAAAATCTTGACCAAATGGTTCTTAACCAACTCACTCTGTTGAAAACTGGCGATCCCTTTGCTTTTTTTTAATGGTTTACCTATTGCTTTTGAGGCACTTTATGCTCTTTTCACAAATCTCTTGTGAAATTTCACATTCTGGGTTTTTTGTATCATTAGCTGTGTAAGAATTCTTTTGTTACTACCTTACCTAGAATTTGGTATAACTTCAAGATTCCTTGTATTTTCAAGACCCTATGACTAAGCTCATGCCATCGTATAAAGACTGGAACTTTTCAGCACCTTTTTCTTGCCCTGGAATAATACCTAAGGTAATTGGAGAAATATTCATTGATTTTAAATGGAGAGGAATAAGATGTTTGATGTAGTCACTTACAGATGCTGCTACTGTGTTGCCTGTATTGGTTTTGCTCAGTACTCTCATTAGGCTTTTCTTGATTTTCTCCTGCTTCACGTAGAACTTTTCATTTTTTCCCTGTCCCTTTTGAACTTTATTATCACATGCAGTGTTAGCCATTTGGAAAAGTATAATGCCACAAATACATAAAAAATTTACTATATATCACTTGCATAATGCATCAGAAATAATCTTTAAAGGACAGTTTGGCTGAAGGAACACTGTGTGTCACACCTAGTGTAAAGACCAAGCATGCTGCTTGCCTTCTGCTTACCTCAGAATAATGAGTTACAGGGCAATTGCAAATTTTATAAGGTTAATCAGTCTTCCATTTTTTAACATTCCTTTCTGATTGCCTTTTTTTTGCACTGCCTTTGTTAGGAAGAAGCATCCATAGAGTTTTACAGGTTTCTGAATTTGGATAAAGAGGTTTTGTGTCTGCCAGTGTGCCCTCAGAGGAGCCACAGTGGTATTAAGTAACAGTAGAAAAAGTAAAGAGGGATCAACATCCAGTAGAGAATTGAATCCCATAGTCCTCTGTGTGCCTGTAGGGAATGCCAAGAGTTGGTATTTCTTACTACACAATCACCTGAGTCTTTTGACCATAACCACTCCTGCAGCAGTTTATGAGAGAGCTGTGCACCTCTCAGCCTGTTTATCCATCACTTCCACCTGGGCAGGGCTCTTACAGGAGAGGTGCATCCTCCCCTGCCCTGCCTTTCCCAGCACGGCAAAGTGCAGAGCTGGGTGTGCTAAGCTGCTGCACTTTTTGCCGATTTTTTGCTCTACTAACATCCCAAGTAAGATAAGCAGGAGGTCTGCTCAGCTGTTCCTGCACACTGAGGAGCCACAATGGCTCTTGAACGCTGTGTCTCATCTGCCATGGCCCTTTAGGGGTCATAAACAGAGAACCCCATAGCGTACAATGAACTGAAGGAGCCTCTCCTGGCTATAGAGAGAGCCCAGAGAGAATAACTTCATTGCACCAAAGTTCACTTTTGCAAATGCTTTCCTCCTTTTCTCCTTTCCTCCTTCATCCTCTTCCTGATTTTCGGTTATAAGTGAATGTCTTTATGGGAAATTGTGAAGTGTCCCAATTTTTCATTTGGTAAATTAGAAGAAACTGGAAAAAATAGTGTAGTCCAGCAGTGTTGTTGGAAGATTCCACTGACAGTTAGGTAGCTGACAGCAATCTTGTGTTTTGCTGTTTCTGTCCTAGTGAGAATGCCCTCCTCCCTCTCACACCACCACTCCTGCCTGCTAGGAGCTTTAAACACACTTCTTCACAGAAATGCATGCCAACACATCCCTTTTAAACTGTCCTCCCCTTCCCATCTCCCAGGTGTCCCTCCTAAAAGAAAAGATGGTCACATCTTTCTGTTCCCTTTTAAAAATTGCATTTCGTGCCCCAATTCTGGTGTCTGTATATTCACCTTGAGAAGGAGGCTTAAGTTGTTGGTAGGGTTCAGGTGGCCTTCTCGTCGTCCTGTCTGTTTGTTAATCTGTGTTCACAGGTCTCAGGGAGATTTATGATGGACAGAAAGTTCTGGTTTTGGGTTGAAATAGCAATTTTTGGGTTGAAATAGGCAATTGAAAAGTTGGTGTATTAGATCATATTAATCTAATACCCCCAGACTGCTGAGGGTGCAGACAGCCTTTGTGGCTTCCCATGAGGAAGGAAGACTTAAGTGATGGCTACCTGGAATAGAATGCACTCTTTTAATGAATATGCTTCCTTTGTTCAGGCCCTGAGGTTGGATTTCTGTTCCATAGGCTCTGGTTCTTTGATTAGATTCACAAGGTTCTGCCATACACTTCATTATGAGTCACCAGAAATGGGACATGAAAGTGCTTAAGAAAAAATCGAAGCCAAGTGACTTACTCGATCAGTGATTGAAATGAGAAACTGAAAATACACATTTAGGAAAAAATAAAGTCCCTTTGCAACTCTGTTCCTTCCTGTCCTCTCTTGTCTGCACAAGAAAAACCTTGTTAGCCTTCTTTGTAAAAGAGACAGTGCATCAGGCTGTTTTGATCACTGTAGCTGTTTGAACCGGGAATTCTTTGAGATGTCATCCACAAGTGCTCTGCAGCCCATCATTTTCTGCAGATTGTGTGCATTTTGTGATTATGGCTGTGAGGAGAAACTGTGAGGATGGGCTCCTTGCTACGGCCATGCCAGAGAAGGACATGTCCTTTGAGGAAGGAACCTCAGGCTAAGTTATTCATCCCCATGCATGCGGAGTTGGTTTGTTTGTTTTATGTTGCAAAGAAATTCTTTCCTCCCACTTCATTTTTAGCTTTCTATTTACAGGGGTGCAGATGTGCTGGAGAAGTGTATTTCAGTTCTCCTCATATGTATAAGCACACACACTTGCATGCAGTCTTCTATTTTCATTCTCTTGTTACGCAAGGGTTTAAAATTAGTTGTATTTGTGAATTAATATAGTTCATTGGAATAAATTTCAGCTATTTTTACTCTGTAATGAGCTTTATCACCATGCTATCTGAATAACTCACAAACACTATTTTTCCTCTATACCCTGTTAACGGTGTAAAATATTCATAGTCTTGATGATGTGAAATCTGTCTGGGAGAAAAAATGGTGCGTGGTAAATTAACTGAGGTTCTCTGCTGAAACATGGTGTAATATAGTGCCACCAAAGAGGAAAATATCTAGATTTTGATAGTACTTTGTGACAGGCACTTCAAAAGGTGGGATTAAAAAACCCAGCATTGCTAGTGTTGTATTTTGCTGTCACATTCTGAGGTTTTATACACCTGCAGTCCTACTTTGCAGGAGTAAGCGAAGCTGAAGCTTCACTAGAGCACTGTGCATGTCGAGATGAGGCTCTGCCTTGGGATGCCAGGAAGATGGGTGGGGCATCCTGTGGTCTGTGTGCCTCTGATTACCACTGTGCTAAAGAGCAAGGCTGGATTTAGTGCACAGGATTTCTACCCAAAACTCGAGGTCTGCCTCATTTTGATTGCACATAGAATCAAAAGCTTCCTTTGTTTCACAGTATTTATAGGAAGGCTTCATTTCCTTAATTGCAGTTTCACTGTAGTTTATAAAGAAAATACAGCATGAAGAGTCATTGTTTTTATGATCTGTGTATCATGCATTAGTCGAGGGAGAGTGAACTTCAAGGTTAGTTGCATGGCAGTTGTCATCAGTCTGTGAAACTCTCATTTTGAGTCACAGCTTTAATTTGCACTTTAACCCTACTGTTGGCTTTCATTTAGTCTTATTTTATTCCCTAATAAGTCCAGTCTCTTCTTTTTCATGGAAGACCATTATAGTCTCCTTTCATAATCATAATTTAAAGGGGGAATAGAGAAACTCATCTCTGGAGGGCCCCTCTTATTTTCTTAATAAGCTTTCTGTCCCCACTATTGTTCTGAATTACATGTGAAATACTTAGTTTCTTATCAATCAGTGTTTCAGAAGATTCCACGAACCTTGTAGACTATTCTTGTAGAATTGTCAGAAAGAAAAAAGGCTGTAATATGTTTTAAATGTATTGTTTTCATTTTCATTGAATGTTTCTCCTGTTAAAAGATAGAAGTGCTCATTTTCTCTTCCATATAATATTCATTATTGCCTGTGTTCAAGGCTAAGTGCTTTTCTATTCATCTCTTCTGCAAACATTTCTTTAGCATTTCACTTCAGAAGAAAAGCCTTCACAGCCTATAATTGTATTTATTGCTTCTCTCCTTTCTCTCTCACACTTTTCCCTGTGATTCTAAACTGTTCTCTGGGGCCATCAAACAGAGCATTCTTGTTGATGGGACCATACCACTAAT